CCCCCCCCCCCCCCAAAAAAAAAGTCTCAAGGACTTTCCTGTCTTGGCTGGCTTTGAACCACGAGCCCCCTGAGTAGCTAGGATTACAGGCATGAGCCAACTGGCGCCTGGCCCCCTAGTTGATTTTTATCTTTTTTTTGGGGGGGGTCTGGTCATGGGGCCTGAACTCTGGGCCTGGGCGCTGTCCCTCAGCTCTTCAGCTCAAGGCTAGCACTCTACCACTTGAGCCATAGCACCACTTCTGGCTTTTTTCTTTTTTTGCTTATGTGGTGCTGAGGAATCGAACCCAGGGTCTCATGCATGCAAGGCAAGCACTCTACCACTGAGCCACCTTCCCAGGCCTCCTAGTTCATTTTTATATGCAATGTTATATTAGTGTCATTTTTTTTTTTAGTCATGGGGCTTGAATTCAGGACCTGGCCATTTTCCTTGAGCTATTTTGCTCAAGGCTAGCTAGCATTCTACAATTGAACCACAATGTCACTTCCAGTTTTCTGGTGGCTAATTAAAGATACAAGTCTCACGGACTTTCCTGCCTGGTCTGGCTTTGAACTGTAGTTCTCATATCTCAGCCTCCTGAGTAGCTAGGATTACAGGTATGAGCCATCAGTGCCCAGCTATACTGTCTTTTCCACTTAGATACTTTTCTGTGTTATTTTCAAAGTTCTTACCAAAATGTCTAATGACATAGGAAGCATATAAAATTAGAAGAATAGAAGATATGAAACAAAAAGCATATTTGATGTTTCATAAAAATGGGAAAAAAATCCACAGGGATGCTAGAGTTTCTTTTTTTCTTTTTCTTTTGGCTAGTCCTGGGCTTGAACTCAGTGCCTGGGCACTGTCCCTGCATTTCTTTTTGCTCAAGGCTAGCCACTCTACCACTTGAGCCACAGTGCCACTTACAGCTTTTTCTGTTTATGTAGTACTGAGGAATTGAACCCAGGGCATTATGCATGCTAGCCAAGCAACTCTACCACTAAGCCACATTACCAGCCCAATGCTAGGATTTCTTTCTTTCTTTCTGTCTTTCTTTCTTTCTGTCTTTCTTTCTTTCTTTCTTTCTCTCTCTCTTTCTCTCTTTTTCTCTCTCTCTTTCTCTCTTTCTTCCTTTCTTGCTCTTTTTTCCTTCCTTCCTTCCTTCCTTCCTTCCTTCCTTCCTTCCTTCCTTCCCTCCTTCCCTCCATCCCTCCCTCTTTTCTTTTCCTTTCCTTTCTTTCTTTTTGGGTCTGGTCGTGGGGCCTGAACTCTGGGCCTGGGCACTGTCCCTCAGCTTTTCAGCTCAAGGCTAGCACTCAACCACTTGAGCCACAGCGCCACTTCCGGCTTTATTTTTTCTACTTATGTGGTGCTGAGGAATCAAACCCAGGGCCTCATGCATGCAAGGCAAGCGCTCTACCACTGAACCACCTTCCCAGCCCAATGCTAGGATTTCTAAATGAAATTAAAAACAAAATGACAGTAAAAATGGAAAAGAGCTGGCTCTATAAATAGAAAACCGCATAAGAGATAGTATATTAAGAGTTTACAATGGATATTTTCAGTTTGTAATGTTATATTACAGACAGCTTCAATTTTTAAAAATTATATATATCGGCATTCCTCACAATTTTTTTCAGTTAACCTACATTGCTTCTGTAATTTTGATCTAGAAAAAAGCTCAAGGTGTCTAAATTTTCTTTAGAAAACAGAATTTTATTATGCCTTGAACTCTTTTTAAAAAAATTTTTTTTGTGAACATACTGTACAGAGGGGTTACAATTACATGGGCAGGATAATGTGTACATTTCTTATCAAGCATTGTAGCCTCCTCCTTTGTTTACCCTTCACATCCCTTCCCAGCCTCCCCCCCCACCTCCCCACCCAATCCTCTCCCCCTCCCCCCCACACCAACGTTGTAAAGCTCGTTTTCGACATGACAACTTGTACTTCTCTATGCCTTGAACTCTTTGTCCTTTTATTGCAACATCCTATGTGCTGGGATGATAAGCTTTCAGTATTACGGGCAGAATGTCTCAAAATGTCTAGCTCTCAAAATGCCTGCTAAAATTGTCTATTATAGTGTGTGTATGCATGTGTGCACGCATGTGCATGCACACAGTTGTGCATGCATGTGTACGTATGTGCATGTGCCAAACTGTCTTGAAGTTAGGGCCTTAGTTTTTCTTGCTTGGCTTTTTCTTTTTTCCTTTCTTTTTTTTGGGGGGGTCAGTTGTGGGGCTTGAACTCTGGGCCTGGGCACTGTCCCTCAGCTCTTCAGCTCTACCACTTGAGCGACAGCACCACTTCCGGTTTTCTAGTGTTTTATTGGATGAGAGTCTCACAGACTTTCCTGCCTGGGCTGGCTTTGAACCATGATCCTCAGATCTCAGCCTCCTGAGTAGCTAGGATTACAGGCATGAGCCACCG